ATGTTTATTTCAGAGGTGATTCAGAATGTGACAGCAACATTCAGCAAGTGCACACAGAGGGATCCTAAATGAACAGACATATGCACCAGCTACTTCTTTTCAACAGCAGTCTCACCCCGAACGACCCTGGTTCTCTGTGCTTACACTTTTCCTATTTAAGAAGAATGAAGTTCAGTGTGCTGGCTAACACATCCAGTTCTCACCAATTCCTCCCCTGTGGTTTAGAATGCTTGCCTCCAGCACACAGAAGCCAAGGTTATTTGAATAGCAGCTTTTGAATAAAAGCAAATAGTCCCTTAGAGAAGAAAAAAAAAATTCAGCCAGCATGTCTATTTCCAAAACTCTTCCCTAGACATTTGTTTACCACAAACAGGTTGACACATCCTGTTGCTGGACTCTACTAAGGTCTAAAGAGGCACCTGTTATGTGTCCCTAGGGTGGATTTTGTGGGTGTCTGCTACTGGATTCACGTATCTACTGCTCCTTCTTCAATTCACAGCTCAGGCTTGAGTGGCAAACATGCCCTTTAGGGATTTCGTTTCCCTGCAACCTTGTTTTAGACATATGCACAGGATTTATAGTTCTGTCCATGAGCAGGGGCATACCCAGTGAGAAGCTGCTGGCCTTCTGGGAGCTTCCTGGTCCATAGCTATGTCTCTCTTTCCTACCACTATCGGACAGTCCTCGTGGTCAGCCTCACCACATGCTCTTACTGGCTTGCTGATGGGAGGAGTCTGGGTGGCTGTTGTCTGCCAGCCCATTCGTTGATTTCCTTCTCTCTTGCTACCCTGGGGATGGGTGCTAGGTCAGGCATGGGATGTCCAGCACACAGTAGCTGCACTGTCCCTTCTGGGGCTTCTCACACCACCTCTCAAGATGAATCAGTGTCCTGGATCACTGTGTTATCTCTACAGGGGAGTCTAAGTGAGGAATATCTAGTTAGCCACCATGTCCGTGTGAGATTTTGACATTGCCGTTGATGACCAGAATAGGAGCATACCTCCTGTCAACTCCCTTGCCAATGACATGCTCAGTGGAACTTAGGTCTCACAGGAGGATTCACTTGCTATCCTTGACTACCACAGCCTCCCTGTCTCTCCCCAGGGTTCCCTGCTAACAGTCATTACTTACAACTTGCCTGAAAAGTGACAGCCCAGGGACTCCCTAAAGTGTGTGTTTTCAAAATTATTCAAAGGAGAAAGGAAGATACTTCAAAGTCACTCATGACTTAAGGTGGGTTCTGAATATCTAATATTAAATAAAAGGTGAAAATTATCTGTGGACAGATGAGCTATGTGAATCCCTGCAGTCTGTCTTGGCTGCCATCTTGAAGTGTGCTTTTCCTGTGGAGACTGAACCCTGTTACTGGGGAAGTGGCCTCTCTAGACCTGACCTTCCCACCCCCTACCAGCCTAAATGCCATATGACGATAATTGCAGATTCAGATGAACAAAATCCAGAGTGAGTTTGCTCCAAGTGGGAATGCACCTGAATTCTGGGAAGTTAGGAATGAGCTATTTTAAATGAGAAAGAGCTATCCAAGGTCAAGCCCTTTCATTGGGTGAACTTTTAGCAGTGTGACGATGTTCTTTTCCATAAGATTGAAATCATATACCCAGGAGGTTATATGATTAGGATACTGTTAGAGAACCCAAGCCCAGAGGTTAAGTAGACTCTCAGAGAAAGCCTTTCTTCCCACACTGAATCTTTTCCCAAGGCTTATTAGCTCTCTGGGAATCAGAGAAAGGTGTTTACTAGTCATTCTGCTACAGGATGAAGGGAATGCTGCTCTACCATACAGCCGGGGAATCTGCGAGCACCACTATGAGGGTTGGGCTTCTGTCTGAGTCTATAGCCTGGGGAGCTGATCCTAAGGGTGTCTGTGCAGGGTGATGGTCCTGCTGTGTTTGCTTGAGAGAGGCCATGCCTCTCATTTGTGGTAACAAAGAGCTTCAGATACCTTTGCTGTAGTGTTTGGAAAATCAAGTCTAGGAATCGGGAGGGGTATCTAACCAAAGCCTCACACATGACAGGTGCAAAGATATGTCTTAGAAGTCAACGTGCAACCTTTGCTTTTTGTCAACCACATGGTGAGTTTTTTCTGCTTCTGTGGTCCTTGCTCCACAGGAGTCACATAGCTGAGGCCAGCTGGAAGGCAGGCCATGGGATAAGAGGTGTGAATGAAGGTTCCCAGTTGCCACAGATAACAAGCAGGGACATGTTCCCCAGACAGACAGGGGATCTTCCCCATCAATGCTAACTGCCTCAGCCAGGATCTCAAAGCAGCCAAGCAAAATGGAGCAAGTGGGTTCCTTGACTGTATAGGCGACCAGTGGGAGCTGTATCTGAAGCAAAGAGGCCTTCGAACAGGGTCTTCGGTCATGTTGGCAGACCTAGTAGGTGCCAGATTGGTGGGAAGGAAGAGAACTGGCAGGAACTTATCTTTGGGGGAATTTCTACCAGTCCATGGAGCAAGGGATTTCTTCAGAGAGGAAGGACATGGTAGTGAAGGCAGAAAGTCAGCTTTCTAAACTCACGGAGCAGAGATCTCTGGGAATTACTGTTGACCTCTTCTTCGGCCCCACCTCAGTGACTTGTGGGCCCTCAGGGATGGAATGAGCTCAGAATCACATAATAAGGATCATGACTGATGTGGCTTTCATTTGGGGTAGTGACCCATTGAGATATTGGCCAACATCAGGCTTGGCATTAAATAATCAGCCCATGTTTTAAATTTATTAGTCAAGAACTTCCAGAGAATGATTTGAAGAATTTGGAGAACTTTAGTGAAAGCAACTGTCCATGGAGATAGAGATGTCCTTGAGATATGAAGGTAAGTCCCCTGGCATTTAGGTCATCATGCTAGAAACCTGAATGAGATTAGTATCTACCTAATTCCAGTACATATCAGCTCTGGCATGACGGGCCATAAGACCATTGTTGCCTGCTTCTTCTTATCCTTACCTCCTCACCTCACCATGGGTCCTAACTTGCAGGCACTAGCTAGTTCTAATCAAGACAGGATTCAAAGCCTACCAAAGAGTAGAACTGGTCCTGCCCTGGAAGGCCTGGGGTCTGGTAAGCCAGGCCAAGTGCCTGTCTCTTGTTTCAGTTGCTGTATCTCCTGTTACTGCAGACATCCAGTCTTAGCAGCAGGCTCCCTCCTTAGACTCCTGATTGCAGCTTAGCTACTGGGTGCTGTGGACCTGCTGGTTTTCTCTCCTGAGTAGGAATGGCAGCTCATTTCCCATTCCCTGCTAGACCTGTTTCACTGAAGTAAGATTCTTGAGACCATAACTGGCACCTTATTACTGTGGAAACTCCCCACCACACACACACACAGACATACACACACACACACACACACACACACACACACACACACACACACACACACACCTCCACATCCCCACACCACACCATTCCCACACTACCCACACACATACCACAAGTCACATATCACACACATATACAGAAAAACACACACCCCTCACTGCTTAGACCATCTCTCAAGATTTAGTCCAGGTGCCAAGTAAAGGATCCCCTCTTCTGTGTGTGGGCAGCTTACAAGTGTAACGATTCATCCCAAGTCACTTTCTCCTCACTAGCCTAGCACCCTGGAAACCCAGTCTGAGGTGGGAAAGGCTTGAGGTTCAGAATCCATTCCCTTGGCTACCTTAGCTTCTCCCTGTAAATCCCGGGGGAAATGGCTCCAGGGCCCGTCAGGAAAGTGCTTCTGCTTTCAAAGTCTGGTTGAGAACTGGGCTAGAGGTGTGGGGAGCATGTCAACATCTTTCCAAGACCAGGCCCAGCTTATCTTCTTCAACTTAAGGTTCTTTGCCCTGACCATCAGTCCTCTGGACTGGAAAAGAAAAGTCTGCCGGGCTATGGACCTCAAGGATCTTCTCTACTCTTTGGCTCTTTTCTTTCCCCAGTTATCCTACCAACTCTCTCACCTCCTGTTCTCAGACCTACCCACTACCATGCTGGAGCTCTTCTGGAGGAGGGAGGTCCAGAGGCATTTCAGTACCCGCCTAAGACTTTGGTCCACCCTTGGCCATCTGCCACTTCTGTTTCATATTCCACTTTTCTCCTAAGCCCCATGCAGCAACAGAGGCAGCTGTTTTCTCATTTGGTAGTTTGTCTCTTTCTTTTTTGAGACAGGGCTGCATAGCCCAGACTGCCCTCACGTCCACAATTCTGTCTCAGCCTGCCAAGTGCTAGGATTACAGGCATGCATCAGTACACCAGGCTCCAAATGCTTATATTAAAATGACCCCTGCTTCCCTTTTCTCGATGCCCTCCCTGTGTTAGTACCAATTAGTTCTTCTGGCTCTCTGAAATTCACACATTCAGGACCACATTCCAGGTTCTTTGAAGTTCTTGGACCAAGAAGTCCTACAAAGAGCACAACTGCTGGGGTTCTCCTTTGAAGTGCAAGGCACAGTATGACTAGGAGAACCAGGCAGTTGTGAGGACACATTGTGTGTGCTCCTAGGTACTCAGTGTCCCAGGGTCACTGTAATAAACTCAATTACCCTGTAAGCCGTGTCCACACATAGAAGGGGAAAACACGCACTAGGGAGTAACAGAGGTGAACAAAGGGCCTTGCAAAAAGTTATTAGTGAGTGGTTTTGGCCTCAGACTAAAAGGCATTGTCCCTGACTTGGGTAACTAGCCTGGGAAGCCTCTGTGGACTCATCTCCAGCTGTGGGCCTGAGTGTCCATGGACAGAATTGCCCTCCCTCAATCCACAGGCCTCAGTGGTAAGAACCATGGGTGATGCTGTTAGTCCCTAGAGGAGACAAAATTGGGGAGGAAAGTGAACAGGTGCCAGTAATCAGAGAGACACAGAGAGAGGGGGGGTAGATGGTACCCTAAAACTCTCTCTGGGAAGCGCACCCTTGCTACAGCCTTGGCTAATGCTCTCACTCACCGAGGCCTAGAAAGCATTGCCCAAGAGGGCTAGGCAAGGCCACTTGCTCAGAGGCCCTGAAGAGGCGATGTGAGGGCTCAATACACTGTTCCTCTCCATAGAGCTCCCGTGCTCCTGGGGCCACACTAAGCTTGCTTAACTAATTGGCCTCTCTGGCCTCCCAGGCTCCTTGGTGTCTGGCAAGAAGAGGCTCTGGGTAGAGCACAGACTTCACATTGAGCCCCTGGTTGCCTGGGATACACTCAGTCCATTAGGTTCATCCTCTTCATCCTGCTCAGCCTCAGCATCTCTCCCAGCCTCAGCACACCCCCCAAGCAAGGGAGGGCTAGGAAGGTACTGGAGGAGCCGGCCATTCCGCTTCATTTCTGCCAGCTCCTTGGCACAGCAGCTGGGGGTGTTGGTCTCATAGGTGTCATGGAAGGTGTTATAGTCCACTTCATAAAAGCCTTTTTCCAAGGTGAGAACTGGTGTGAACCGGTGACCCCAGAGCACCTCTGTATCCATGTACGAGCTTCGTGCTTGGCAAGTCATGCCTGGGAAAACAGAAACCACATGTGTTAAGATGCATTGAGATGCATCCATTTATTGATCCATTCATCCATCCATCAGTCCACCCACACATCCATCTATCCATCCAGTCATCTATTCATCTATTCCATCATCCATCCATTCATATAACTATCGATTCATTATCCATCTGACATTTACTCAATCGAACCCACCTCCAGGCATTAAATTATCTATCCATTTGTGGTGGCTTGAATGAGAATGGCCTCCATAGGCTTGTATATTTGGATGTTTGGTTCCTAGTTTAGTAGACTGCTTAGGAAGGATTAGGAGGTTTGGCCTTGTTAGAGGGTTATGTTTCTGGGAATTGGAATTGAGGTTTCAAGAGCTGATGTCAGGCCCAGTCTCTCTCTCTCTCTCTCTCTCTCTCTGTGTGTGTGTGTGTGTGTGTGTGTGTGTGTGTCTGTCTGTCTGTCTGTCTGTCTGTCTCTGCCTGTTGCCTGTGGATAACATATAAATTCTCAGCTATTGCTTCAGCATCATGACTTCCTGCTGGCCTGCCTGCCACCATGCTTCCTGCCATGATGGAAATGGACTAACCCCCTGAAACTGTAAGCAAGCAACGCAATTAAATGCTTTCTTTTATAAGTTGCCTTAGTTATGATGTTCCTTCACAACAATAGAAAAGTAACTAAGACACAATCCATTCCTCCAATCATCCATCTATCCAACCATCCATCTATCCAATCATCCATTCATCCAATCATCCATCTATCCAACCATCCGTCTATCCAATTATCCATCTATCCAACCATCCATTCATCCAATCATCCATCTATCTAATTATCCATTCATACAATATCCATCTATCCAACCATCCATTCCTCCAATATACATCTATCCATGCATCCTTTCCTCCAATCATCCATCTATTTAACCATTCATTTCTTCAACTGTCCATCTATCCAACCTTCTATTCCTCCAATCATCTATCTATCCAATCATCCATTCATGCAATCATCCATCTATCCAACCATCCATTCTTCCAATCATTTTCAAGTGCCTCTTGAACATCTACTTTGTGCCAAGGACATGGACAATAAAGCTGAATATGAGATGGTCCTTGTTGTGGAGGAACTCACATTACAGTGAGGGAAGAAATGACAAATGAACTTGCAAGATTCTGGAATACATTTGTAGATGCTAAAGGGGGAAATGAAATAGTCAGAGACAAGGACACAAGTTTTGAAAGCAGCATTTAGGATTAGAAGGCTGAGACTGGAAAGGAGGCAGGATAAGGGTTTGAACAAGGTAAATTCAGAGTGAGGGTGATGGGGGAAGTGCTTCTGTGTATGTTTATCTTATTGATTGTTGAATAAAGTTCTGTTTGGCCAATGAGGCAGCAAGTTAGATGGAACTAGGAGTCAAAGAGGATTCTGGGAAATATAGTAGTGAAGTGGTGATCCAGGCAGGAAGTGACATAGCAAGGAGACTCATATTTAAGCAAGGAGAAACAGGAAGTGTCCCCTTTTTCCCCTCTGCTCTTCCTCCAGCAGCACAATGTGATCCACCAGCAAGGAGGGACACCAATGGAAGGTGTCTGATAAGATAAGTCTTATAAAATATATAGATTTATGATAATTAAGACTGAGCTAACAGATGAGAATCCTAGTCATTGGCCAAGCAGCATTTGAACCTAATACAAGTTTCTGTGTATTAATTTGGGCCCTAACTTGGGCGGGTGGCTGACGTAAAGCACACGCATGACGGTGGGGCTCGGTGGCTTTTGGCAGAAAGATTTATCGTAACATGAGGGACCAGATTGCTTCTGACAGGCATTCAGAACATAGGGAAATAGTTCTAAGTGGACATACAAACAGAAGCCTGCACAAACATGAACACATGCATGCTAGCATACATGTACATGCATCCATACACAGACATGCATGTGTGCCCTGGAAGGGGAAGCGAAGTAACGCTCAGCCTGACTTCTGATTTGAGGATGCTCCGATGCCTCTAGTCCCTCTCTCTACAGCCCTGCCATGGCTGTGTTATTTTTAGGTGTTGCTTCCTCTCCAGAGAGGGAGGGCAGTTTTGTTTATGGATGAGGAAGCATCTGTGGATAGGGTCACAGAAAAGAAAATTTGTATTTAGTCTCTGTCCAAGGAAGGACTAGCTTGTGCTCTTTAGGCACTGAAGGCGAACCTACCCCAGTTTCCACTCTAGGCCTTCTCCAGGAGAGGGGCCATACAAACCAGAGTGAGGGCAAAAGCTGTTTTCTTTTATCCATGCCCAGGCCCCCAAAGCATCCTACACATAGTGGACTTATAGCCCATGCTTTGATCTCAGGGTGATGCCTGCCCCAGCCAGGATTCTCCATTCAGGCCTCACCCTGGATGTACACCCATTAGCCCAGTAGAGATAGAAACATCCCAGTGGGTCTGAGCAGTCTAGCCCCAGGCCCAGTGTCTGCAGGCTTGCAGGACTCTGAAAAGACTCTGGCACAGGACTCCCATATGTGCCTGCAGAAGACCTGTGGGACCCTTGCCATTGGTCTTCCTGTTCATCCTCTAGGGAAATGGCACTGGCTATCCACTCTGTGTGTCACCTGTGGCATTCCATTTGGCTCTTTAGTCTTCCTCCTAGCACATGAGATTGACTCTCATTTGCAGACCAGTCAAGGAACTTGCCCAGACTTACATAGGAAGGGTGTGGAAGAGCTATGCTGCTCAAACTAGGCCTGAATTCATGCCAAGGCTGGGCTCCATGAGTGTGGCAATGAAACAACTCATGCCATTTGTAAATAGGTGGTCTCAGTCTCCAACATGGTTCCACAGACAGAGAACAAAGATTAACTAGCACAGATTATGGCAAAGGAAGTCAGTAGTTAGGACAGGACAGTGTAGGCCAGGGCTTTCAGGGAAATGTGGGAGGAGGAGCGGGCAAATGGGTCAGTATCCTCTCCCTCTGCTGGGGGGGTCTGTGGGTGCTTTCCTGCTGCACATTGGAGGCAGTGCAGGCATCGCCAGGGGACAATAAGACTTGTCTCTGCCTGATCCCTCTTTCAGGACCTCAGAGAGGAGCTCATTCCCCTGAAAGTGATCCTGTGTTCTATGCTGACCCTGTTACCAAGGACACAGTGACCCTAGAGTCCCCATCTACACGAATCAGCTTCCTGCTTCCTGACTGTCCTCAGCCCAAGGGGCTTCTCCAGCTGCCACCATATGCTTCCTGGCTAGGCTCCAGCCCCCCAGCAGATGGCCAGGCAGCCTTAGGCATAGTCTCCAGGGCCTGCCATCACCCTGCCTAACTCTGACTTAGAAATGGGAAGGTTTGTAGAGGTGCTGTCTGAGTCTCTCAGCCAGTAGCCAGATTCATAAGGGCTGACAGGTACACTTGGCCACCTTTAACAAGCCCCTAACATCTTAGGGACCAGTGTGGTGTGTAGAAAAGGATGGAGACTTGTAAATGAAAGTCCCAATATGAACGCTTAACGCCTGCCTGGCACTTTTGAGGTTCAGCATCCATATCTGTAAAAGGGGATGAGAAGCACAAAAACACTATTTGTGGGGTTTTGAAGACGATGTGTTATTTTGAGCATGGGGGAGTTTTGAACAAATCATTACTAGGGTTAGCTCACCTCTCTGTCTAATAGTGAATTAAAGAGAAGGCAGGTGAAGGAAGACAGACACAGCATTTGGCTGGTGGGCACTCCTTTGTGAGGAACAGGAGGTCCAACCTTGAGGTGGTGTCTGTGGCTCTCAACTAGAGCTCAGGTCCTCTTAGACCTTGGACTAACTGGATCACCTCAGAGAGATCTGCTGTGGCAGAAGGAAAGCTAGGAGACAGGCTGCTCCTGAGAGAGGACTGTGGGAGAGCACCTCTCCCAGATCTGGAGCATAGGTACTCTTTAAAAAAAGGTTTTTGGGGAATACCCATGAATTTAGGAAAGACTGCATGTTAGGTACCATCTACACTGTTTAATTTTTATTGTCAACTTAACATAAACCAGAATCACCTGGGAAGAGGGACTCTGAATTGCCTCCATCAGATCCGCCTGTGGGAATGTCTGTGGGGGAATTGTTTTGATTGATGATTGCTGTGGGAGGATCCAGCCCACTGTGGGTGACACTATTCCCAGGCGGGGGTGGGGGGGCTTGCTGTTTAAGAAAGCAAGGTGAGCAAGCAAGAGGGAGCAAGCAGGTTAGCAGTCTTCCTTCATGATTTCTGCCTTAAGTTCCCCCTGCTGAAGTTCTGTCCTGAGTTCCCTCAGTAGTGAACTGTGACCTATAAGATGAATAAACCTTTTCCTTTCCAAGTTGCTTTAGGTCATATTCTTGGTGATATTCTATCACAGAATCAGAAAACAACATCCTCTCTTAATGATCAGTCTCACAACATGAGTGGTTCTCAACCTGTAGAGGGTTACACATCAGATATCCTGTATATCACATATCCTGATTGTGATTCATAAATGTAGCAAGCATACAGTTATGAAACAGCAGTGAAGTGATTTAATGGTTGGGGGGGTCACCACAACATGAAGAACTGCTTTCAGGGTCACGGCATTAGGAAGGTTGAGGACCACTGATAGGGCCAAGAAGTCTCACTCTAAAACACCACCTCCTTTAGTCAGCCCAGGTTTCCCAGTCACCCCTTTCCTGTCTTAGGACAGGAAGCATTTTGACCAATTGGAAATGAGGGCTGGCTCTGGGGTCCTGCTGGCTTGGTGGAGCTTACTCACTTCTGTGCTTCTGCTTCTAAAGCATGAATTCTCCCGTGGAGGTGAGGAAGGGCCTCAGGTGTAACATATGTTTAAACTGTAGAACAATGGCTAGAAGTTGGAGAGTTCAGCCCACGTTAGCTATTGTTAGTGTTCTACCTTGGGTCACACTGGGGGTGGAACTGTCGTCTTGGGATTCTTACACACAGATGTGTACATTCTAGAGCACCACTGGTCTGTGCTCCAGGGACAGAAAGAGGACCAGGTGGCCTAGGGGGGCAAACTGTCTTACCTGTTGCTTCTACCATTCCTTCTAAGATGACCACGACTTCAAACTCTTCCTGTTCCAGCTGAGCACGTGACATCTCCCAGAAAGGGCTCTTCTCATTGATCTCGTGGGAGATGATGAGTGGGGACACCAGGAAGAGACGATCATCACCAGTGTCAAAGCCCACATTAATGTCCGTCTGGTTCAAGGGGATGAATTCCCCTTCTTTGGTCTGCCGGGATTTGATAAGCTTGGCACGGATGGAGGCCTCTACAATGTGGGAGTTTCGGAGGTCCCCTACCCGGAACATGAGGCACAGCTTCTCATCCCGCATGGAGATGACAGCATTGTTGGAAAACATGAGGGTCTCTGCTCTCTTCTTTGGCTGGCTGATCTTCACAAACATGCAACCCACCATGAAGGCATTGACGATAGAGCCCAGAATGGCCTGCACCAGAAGGAGTATGATCCCCTCCGGGCACTTTTCAGTGATGACTCTGAAGCCATACCCAATGGTTGTTTCTGTCTCGATGGAGAACAGGAAAGCAGACACAAAGCCACTGAGGTTTTCAACACAAGGAATCCACTCTTGGTCACCCACATGGTCCAGATCACCTCGGACATAAGCGATGAGCCACCAAATGAAGCCAAAGAACAGCCATGTGATAGTGTAGACCATGGTGAAGACCAGAAGGTTGAAGCGCCATTTGAGGTCCACCAGGGTGGTGAAGAGGTCACTTAGGTAGCGATAGGTTTCCTGAACATTGCCATGATGCACATTGCACTTGCCACTCTTCTCCATGTAGCGCTGACGTGGCTTCTTGCCTTCTGCCAGCAGGCGTGTGCGGTCTGTGGCAATAGGAATGTAATCCCGTGCCTGCTTGGGAATCTTCTTGTGGTCCTGGAAAGTGACTCCTATCTCCATGTCTTTGTTCATAGCATTCCTAGAATCACCAGCCATAGCTGAGATACAATGAATTAAAATGACACCATCATTAGTGAAGTGCCCTGTTAGGACGAGTACAGACCTGGAACTGGATAATACTCCCTTCTGGTGGTTCAAAAGGGTCTCTTCTAGTGTACAGTGTCCCACACTATGAAATTCTCAAGAGCTGGGATCAGGTACTCCTATAGCATTTCTCTGTATCTTTGGTGGCACTGAAGAGTCTAGTCTGTGGCACATGCTTAGTTTGTTGAATGAATAAGACCCACTTAATGTGGGTCAGTTACACATGAAGTGTTTAAGGTATTTGGAGAAATCTGAGAGCAATTTGAAACATAATTGCCACAGTTTATTAAATGCCTATTATGTTTCATGGATTGTCACTTATGATTAACACAATAGTGACTGCAATCCCCGTTACATACTGTGTATAGAGTGCACTTCTTTCTTATAAAAAAGATTTTGCTTCTAAAACTATGTGTGCATGTTTTGCCTGTGTGTATATGTGTACCATGTGCATGCCTGGTGCCTATAGAGCCAGAAAAGGCATCGATCCCCTGGGAATGGAGTTACAGAGAGTTGTGAGCTGCCATGTGGATGGTGTAACTGAACCAAGGCCCTCTACAAGAGCAGAAAGTGCTCTTAACCACTGAGCTGTTTCTCTGTCCCCTCTTATGGGTTTCTAATATTTTGTTAAGAAACAAAGTCCTCAAGTGCAGGGGTTTGTGTTTGTTTGCTCCTTGCTACATTCCAAACACAAAAACAGCATAGATCACCTGACACACACTGGCTCAAAGCCACTGCTGCATGAAGACTGGAAAGATAAATAAGAAAGCAGGGGAAGAGGCTATGAAGGCTGATGTTGGGATTCCTGTTCTCCCGGTCCCAAGCCTATGCTGTCCTCTAAAGGCCCCTGCCTCCCTTCTTTTTCCTTGGGGATCCTTAGTAGCCGATAGAAAGGACAAGGCAGCATATGTCTGCTTCACTGAGTGGTCACTCCTGCTGTCTGAATGGGAACTCTGGCTGTCTGCATTCTTATTAAAATGACAAACCACTGTGTAGATGCACCCTTGAAATATCTGATCTAGTTAGCCCTGAGAAATTGAGATGGATGGAATGTTTGTGCCCCGAGGCTTTCAAAAGGACTGCTTTTAGAGGGCATGCCACACTTCATAGAGACACCTGCAATATTCCATCCATTGCCGTCCTGATAGTCTGCTCCAGCTCATTGAAAATGCTTTGAGACTGATAAAAATAGGGAAGACTGGGAATCCCCCGGATTACTGAGAACAGCTCACTCAGGGGCTGAAGTTGAGCTGAGAAATGCTCCTCCGTTTGCTTGTTTAATCCTATCACAAGTGACCAGATGGTTACATATAATCTGTCTATTTTTCTTTTGTTGTTGCTAGACATTTTGTTTGCTTATTCTTTGTTTTTGAGACAGTCTTGGGTTGCTAGGTAAGCTACCATGAAGCCCAGGCTGGCCCCAAACCCTGGTCTTCCTGGGGGGGCTGTGGTTCTGGCATTGCTGGGGTATGCCACTGCATTGAGCTAATCTTTCCAGTTTTCAGTTGGGGAAATGATGCTTGGAACAGCATGTGGTCAGTTTAGGTTTGGAATCAGAGTTTTTCTTGCTGTACCCCAGTGACTTAACCCTGACAACAGGATGTTCCATGGCTCCAGCTTTGGGTAACAGATTGCTACTGCCAGAATTTTCTTTGAGCTCTCACCCTAGAATACACCTTAGGGCTTTCTTTATAAATAAGCTTTTCTGGGTTTCACAAGAATATGCTTTCCCAGTGCATAATTCTCCTAGGTTTCCATTTTCTTTGTTGCACTAGCAGAGAAACAAAGGGTCTTGACCACTCTACAGCCCAGTCCAGTAAATTTGTTCTCTTGCAGGCTTGAATCCAAGCACACACTCTGGATTGTTCACCCTGGGGTTTGGTTTGTCTCTTTTTGGAATCCAGTTGGGGGCAAGTCCTTGTGGGAAGCCCCCTAACACTAATTTGGGGACTTTGTGGAACTCCTGGGAACCATTCTGGTGAGTGTTCTAGAAACTGTTAGGTGACCAATTAGAAAGTAGCAGGTTTGATGGACTTGAGGGCTGGAGCCTTTCTTTATAATCAACATCCTGTGAAGGCCAGGACAGGAACTATAGGACTCTAGTTATTGGCCAGAGGAGAGGGACCTGAGTCAAATCTGGTTCTTCAATGGGATATCCTGAACTGCCTAAGGACATTCGTTTATAACTATTTAAAGCTGGTTCCAGGTCAGCAGCATGCATTCCATACATACCAATGCCAACCCTGTGTCAGTCAAATTGGCCATCAATCATGTGGACAGGGAAATACCCTTTGGGAAAGCTGTTGTCCTAGTTAGTTAGCTTCAGCTGTCTACTTGACACAATCTAGAGTCACCCGAGGAGAGAGTCTCACTTGAGAGATTGCCTACATCAGATTGGCTTGTGGCCATGCCTGTGAGAGATTGTCTTGACTGATGATTGACATGGCAGAGAATAGCCCACTGTGAGCGGCACTGTCTATAGGCAGATGGGTCTGAGCTGTGTAAGAAAGGTAGATGAACATAAGCCAGGGAGCAAGTCAGAGAGTGAGCTAGCAATCAAGTTCCTGCCCTGACTTCCCTCAACCATGGAAGTTATAAGCCAAATGAACCCTTTCCTCTCATAAGTTGCTTTTGGTCAGGGTATTCTATCAAAGCAAAGGAGATGAAATCATAACAGCTGTCTATTTCAGGGCCACTAGAAAATGTAAATTGACACAGTGTCTTTGGTTCATTCTCACCCCTTTGGGGTCTCCCACGTTACTCCGAAATAAATTCTGTCTTCTAACTATATTATCTATGTCTTATCTGAATTCTTTTGGCAGAGATCACAAGACTGTAGAGATGAATGAGGACAAGAGCAAAATGCTAGTGATATAGACCACTGAACCAACTGTCCCATTTGTTGTAATTTTTAAAGGGGGCACAAGAGTGAAAGACGTTATGTGACAGAGTTCATGTGGGAGAGGTTATTTTTTATTTTTTTATTTTTTATTTTTTTAGTTTTTTGAGACAGAGTTTCTCTGTGGCTTTGGAGGCTGTATTGGAACTAGCTCTTGTTGATTGGGCTGGTCTCGAACTCACGGAGATCTGCCCGCCTCTGCCTCCCGAGTGCTGGGATTAAAGGTGTACACCACCACCGCCCAGCGGGGGGAAACTTTTTATTAGGAAAATGGGATCATAAAAAGGGGGAAGGGAAGGGAGGAGGCCAGCCTCTGGGGACAGGAGCAGAAGGAGAGAGGGGTGGGAGGTGGGCAGGGCCCTTTTAAAAGGGAACATAGTGAATAGGCCTAGATGGTGCTCTTAGTGGCAGCAGCTGAGAGTGTAGCCTGTCAGAACTCCAAAGGCAGGCCAGTAAAAATGCCTAAATACTAACACCATTGGCCAAGTAAAGTAATATTGGCTAGCTTGAGAAACCTTATGACAGCTTATATTTTCCTTTGCTACCTGGGTGGTAACCTTTAAAATGTCATATTGAAGAGTCATCCATCTGAAGGGCCATTTGTCTCAGACACCTATTGGCCATTTCCCACTCTGTACACAGCCACCTGCTCCCTGCTATCACATGTGGTAGTTACAAAGATAAATGAAATAAAAAGGGAAAAGCATGGAACATCTTTGTAGAGTACTGTATAGGACTTTGTTCTGCCCCCTTGGTGAGTCTTTGTACCAAAAATCTGACCAGAGGTTCCTAGAGCTGGTGAACTGTGCTGGTGACCTTGAAGCCCCTGCACTCCCAGGCACTCAGCTGTGGTAGCCCACATTGGCTTCCAAGCGAAGTGCTGTAGTGAGTTCTCCCAGTCACACATGTCGAGCATGGCCAAGACAGGGCATGAGAATGAGTACTGGCCAGGGCACTTGGGAAGTGGGTTCTGCCCTCCGCTCTGCTGATTTTCTGCACTGTTTCCTTCCTATTTTTAAATACACTTTATGCCTTCTTAGGAGAGAGCCCTGTGATGTGTTAGAAACAAGCTGATATTTTCTAGGACACCTCTGCTCAAGTCTGAAAAAGTTGTGCATTAGGAGAAGGCTGCATATTTCCGATTTAAGAGCCATACATATGGCTAAAATATTCCTTGTGTCACCCAGCGTGCGATGACTAAGTTCTGTAGTCTGCTTGGTTGAATTAAGAATCCCAGAGGTCATTGATGAGACACAATTCTGGGCTTGTTTGTGAGGCTGTCTTAAGAGAGATAAACCTGAAGAGGGACGACTCACCCTGAATGTAGGCAGCAGTACTCCATGGCCTGGAGTTCCAGACTGAATCATACAGGGGAAGGAGGAAGCAAATGAGCCACGGAAGTCCCTCCCCTTTCTCCAATTCCTGGTCTGCCCAGATGTGAGCAAGCTCTCACTGCTAATGCTTCCAGCTGCTCGTGCAGCCATGCCTTCTCCATGGTAATGGGCTATTCCTTCAAGCCCTGAGCCAAACTGACCATTCCTCCTTCAACTTGCTTCCTTTAGGTGTTTGGTCATGGCTACCAGTACACAGGCTAGGACATGGGTTGAGCTCCGTATACAGCAGACTTGCTCTCTGGGCCACAGAAAAACAGTTCTACCTGTATCAGCTTCTGTTTCCTATGCTATATATCTCAGCTACTATTCTCTGCCTTTTTTGCTTGCCGGTTATTGTGGGGAACCCTACAAAGGATACATGATACAAATATAAGTAAAATGTAGCCCCATGCCACATAATTGTGCAATGATTAATGACAACTGCATATATAACTCTAGTCCCACAAGACAATGTCAAATAGTAATATAGTCTGCACTTGGCCATCTTAATTTGTATAAACAAGCTCTACAAAAATCACCTACTGGTGCATTTTCTTCAAACTCTATCTCTGCCATTAAGCTGGGGGCATCTACCAAATGGATGCATATAAATTTATAATTTCTCCTCCCTTGAGTTTGAATGCTATGTGGTGCTCAATTTTCCCAAATTTTAAACACAC